GCTTTTGCCAGACATCTGGTTCTGCCCTATTGCAGGGAAACATGTGAACCTAAAATTCTCTAACTGAGTACTCCAGAGCATATTGTATGTTGTCCTGATGAAAATAACTTGTCTGTTGCATGAGAGCAGGCCAGTAGAGATCCAGCAGGAAAAGTCAAGTTCAAATTGGTTCTCTTCTCACAGCTGAGTTTTCAGCAGTCAGTCAGGCTTAATTCCTGTCACACATCCCTCCCCTTGAGGGATTTACTTTAGTTTTTCTTTTTTTCCTAGTTAAAAAAAAAAAATAATCATTTAACGTCTCTTTAGAGTTACAGGACTGTAATGTTGAAGTCTAGTAACTGAATGCAGAAAGAAATAGCCCTTGTTAGAAGTAAAAACCAAAATAAAAAAATTAAAAAACCAAACAAACAAAACCAAAATAACAAACCCCAGAGAGCTTTGCAGTGCTTTGCAACCCTCTGCTCTCCTGCCTTCCAGGAACTACATGAACGACAGCCTGAGAACAGATGTCTTTGTGAGGTTCCAGCCAGAAAGCATTGCCTGTGCATGCATTTACCTGGCAGCCAGGACTCTGGAGGTGAGCCACGATTCCCTGGATCTGGGGGAGTTTCAAGGCTGCCCCCAGGAGCAGGGAGAGCTGAGCTTGTCCCTGTCCCTCCCTTCCAGATCCCGCTTCCCAATCGCCCGCACTGGTTTTTGCTGTTCGGAGCGACGGAGGAAGAAATCCAAGAAATCTGCTTGAAAATCTTGCAGCTCTACACACGGAAAAAGGTTTGTTTCTCTTGCATGTTGGGAGCCCTCACTTTAAAAAACAACAAAACAAAACACCTTGTTCTGTTTAAATGCAAGGCTGGCACATGAAGGGAAGAAGGGAATAAGGAATCCCAGCTGTCTGGAGGTTCAGTTCACTAAGTGGTTGTCCCCACCTGTGTTCACAGGTGGATTTGTCTGACCTGGAAAGTAAAATAGAAAAGAAGAAATTGGCCATTGAAGAGGCAAAAGCACAAGCTAAAGGTCTGGTACCTGAGGGAGTCCCGAGCTTGGATAACACATCAGGATTTTCCCCTGCCCCAAAAAATGGTAAATGGTGGGATAACTGGGTTTTAGTGACTTTCTCGTCTTTCATGTATATTTACCCCTTTGGGATGCATTTACAAGTGTGGTTTGGGGTTGGTTGGGGATTTTTTTTTTTTTCAAGCTGGCTTTTAGCAACTGTTCTGCTGGCAGAGTTTGAATAGTGTTGTGACTTTGTGATTTCTTGAATCAGATAAAAAGCTAAAATCAAATTAGTCTAAAATTAAGACTAGTTTAAACTCATATAGTGCAAGGGCTTGTTTTTATGTGGTTTTGGCAATAAATATTTGCAAAACTGGCATGTTATGCTAAAGCAGCATTAAAGCAGAGGTGTGTTAGGAGCTCTGGCAGGAGTAACATTTTGGGATGGCGGGTGGGGAATATTTTCCTGCACTTCTTGGTTGAGAGTTTCCTGCCTTGATTAAGAGTCTTGCCTAGAAGATAACATTTACCATCATCTCCCCTGAGTTTTCCTTTAAAACGATACAGAATAACTGGCAAGGAAGAGGAGTTGCTGTCCTGCCTTCAGGTCACTCTCTGGGGTTACTTCAATGCTTTGGCAGAAATGTTTCAGATTTGTTTCTGCTTTCTGTGAACTTGTTCAGATCTGTTTGTGGGTGGTTATGTGTGTGGAAAATACAGCTGTACAGTTCTGATCATGGCAGAGATGGTGAAGAGGGGGCAAGGGGAGCCCTCAGTCCTTTCAGGTACTTCCCATACGTGCAAAATAGGTAACAAAGGCTTGTTTTTTCCAGAGTCCCCAAAGGAGGTTAAAGGAAATAAACCTTCCCCACTCCCTGTCCAGGCAATGAAGAATGCTAAAAGGAAAACAGAGGGAGCCAAAAGAACGAGCTCCAATAGCCCAGTGAATGGGTAAGGCCTCAGAAGGAAGCAGCTTATTTCTTCTCACAGCTACTTTAAGCAAAATAACTGAGCGTTTGTTGTGTCTTGCAGTGTCCAGAAAGGGAGAGAGAGCAGAAGTCGGAGTGGGAGCAGAGATCAGAGTTACTCCAGATCAGCCTCGAGATCTGCATCCCCCAAGCACAGGTATGTGCTGCTGTCCGGGGGGCTGTGCTGGGAGACCCTCCCAGGCTGGCATTTCACAGTAATTTGTCACCAGGGGGCTGTGAAGTGACACAGCAGCGTGTGCTGCTGGTTAAACTGCAGAATGAACTCCAAACTGGGGCCTTTTGGTGGCAGCGGCACTGTAACTGGAGCTGGAGAAAGGGATACAAGATGTTTTAGGACACACAAACAACAGAATGCAGAATGAAGTTCTCGCAGTTTAAGAAAATCATGTTTTTTCTCTTTTTTTTTTTTCCCCAGGAAAAGCGAGAGTTACTCCACCTCCAGCGGCTCCAAATCCCACAGCCGCTCCCGGAGCCGCAGCGATTCCCCCCCGCGCCAGTTCAACCACAGCTCGGCCTACAAGGGCTCCAAGGTGAGGAGCTACAAGAAATCCAAAGACTACAAATACTCCACCCACAAGGCCCGCAAGTCCCGCTCCCGCAGCTCGTCCCGCTCCCGCAGCCGCTCCCGGGAGCGCTCGGACCACTCGGGGAAGTACAAGAAGAAGAGCCACTACTACCGGAACCACCGGCACGAGCGCTCCCGCTCCTACGAGCGCGCCGGGCACCGCTACGAGCGCGAGCACCCCGGGCACAGCCGGCACCGCCGCTGAGGGCACGGCCAGGGACACCCCCCCAGCTCCACCACCCGCCTCCCTGACACCCATCTGGGAGCTCCCCTGCTCCCTCCCCGATCCAAGGGGCTGCTGCGCTCCGGGTGCTCCCGTCCTGCCCTTCCTGAGTGATTCCCGCCTGGGATTTCCACTTCCCCTGCGGCTCAGCCCTTGGAATGCTGCGCCCTGTGGAACTGGGAGGCCGTTCCTAACCCCTGGGAGTGGCTCGGTGCTAACAAAAAGCTGTCTTTTCGTACCGACTCCGGTGTTGTACAGATGGGAGGTGACTTTTCTAGCCCTGTTGCCTATATTAGGTTCTATGTGTATATATATTTTGCAGTGTTACAGTACAGTATGGGAATATGGCCTTACTAAGCCTTTACACTTTATCCACAATTGTAAATAAGCATTTGTTTAATACAGGTGAAGATATATACAGAAAATTCAAAACTTGAATTCTATAAAAAAAAAGCAAACCCTTGTGTAGAAAATTCTGATAAATGTGAAAGTATTTAGCTCTGTGCATTGAGAGTAGTATATTTTTATCTGTGCAATGCTGTGTGCAGGCCACCAGCTCCTAAGACATTTCCTATATATACATTTTGAGTGGTTTGAAATTCTTTACTCAGGATCTTTGACACTCTGAAGAATTAGTAGTTTGTCAGTCTGCATGCTTGTTGGAGAACAGAGCGTTTAAAAGCAAATTAGCAGACCCCCACAGCCCAGTAGTATCAGTTCTAGTGGTATATCTGAGCTGTTACTCTCTCATGCTCCCTAATTTCATTAAAGTATTTGATTTTCTATTAAATTTACTTGATGGTAGTTTCTTATGAGCCACACCAGTGTGCCTACTCATAAGGAAAGAATGAAGAGATTATCAAATTGTGGTGGGCTTAAGACATCGGATTGAATCCCTGTACCCTTGAAGTCAGGAATTTTGGGATGTTCTGTTAGTTCAGGCACCTCTCCAGGCAATCCCAAACAAAACATCCCCTGATTCTGGGAGCTGGGAAGTGCATTTCCCTGCCTCCAGGTGCAGCTGGCAGGGTCCAGCTGAGGTTCCTGAGCAGGGGCTCCTCCCCTGTGCATGAGGAACGGATGGCAGGAACACCTGGGGTTTTGGGGGCTTGCACCCCTTGCTGTGGGGGCTCTGTGCTGGTTTTTGGGGGTGAAAGGGGCTGAGCAGCTGTGGTGCTTTTGGTGCGAGGCCACAGGGACCTGCTGGGACATTTTGGGATGTCAGTGCTGCCGCTGAGCACAGCAGAGGGTCCTGTGGCTGGAGCTGGCAGAAGAGGAGAAGCTGAAATCAAAAATAAAGCCCCACGTTTTAATGTGCCTGCACATGCAGGTCTCAGCTCTCAAGGTGAGTTATGACTTTGTTTTCTCATCATCTGATGACTCTTCCCAGGTTCTTGCTGGTTTCTGCTGTCTCCTCTGTGAGCACTGAGATGAGCTTTTCCCAGCAGCTTTGGGGTCATGGAATCCAGGCTGATCCAGGAGCTACTTTGCTCACAGCCAACACTTGGTGTGTCTGGGGACCTGGGGAATGTCTGCAGGTGTCTTGTCACCTTCCTCTCACCCTGGGAGTGTGACAGGAACGTTAAACCTTCGGACACTTCCAGATATGTAAATCCAGTACATTTGTGGAGCTACTGCACTTACTTAGAAATAAACCAACAAATGGGAAAAGGGGCAGACCCAGCAAATGTTTGAGGCTTTTCCACAGAATTTTAGCAAATTACCAACTCTCTTTGTGGTTTAGTCTCCCACGTCCGAGGGGAGAGGCTATCCCTGACCTCTGTCAGGATGGAGTTCATGTTTTAAAAGCTCAGTGAGCTGTTAGAAAAGAAAATACAATATTATGCTAGCAGATGTAATTGAAGCCTTTATCCCTACATCTATTCCAGAGTCTGTACGAGTGTGGGGACCAGGAATAGGTTGTTGATCTGGGAAGGCACACTCAAGCCCTGTGGGGAGCCTGTGGTCAAGGCTCTCCTTGTTCCCTGCAGGAGTTCCTGGAGCTGGGCTTGGGAGCGAGATGGGCTTTGTGAGAGGGGGAAGAGCAGATCCACCTTCCTCTGTCCGAGACCGTTCCTTCCCTACCCCGGGGGAGGCGCCGGGCGGGGGCGGGACCGGGACGGCCCCGCATCGCGCAGGTTGAGAACCGCGTGTGGTGGAGAACTGCGCCGGGAGCGCAGCGAGCCGGGACCAGCCGGGCCGAGCCGGGACCAGCCGAGCCGAGGACCAGCCATGGCCCAGCCGCGCTGCCGCTCCGTGCTCATCACCGGCTGCAGCCGCGGCATCGGGCTGGGGCTGGTGCGGGGACTCGCGGCCGCCACCCCCTCCCCGGACTTCGTCCTGGCGACCTGCCGGGACCCCGAGAAGGCGCAGGTAAGCGGGCCGGGACAGCAGGGGGTCCCCGGGGGCGGGTAACGGGGGCGGAGGCGAGGAGAAGGCACTTTGGGAAGCGCGGAACATCCCGAGCATCTCCGCGCCCGAGCGCCGGCAGCGAGTGCCCGGGATGGGATGGGATGGAGAGAGGATGGGATGGAGCGGGGATGGGATGGAGCGAGGATGGGAGGGAGTGAGGATGGGTTGGAGCGGGGGCTGAGCTGCCCGGGGCAGGGACCGGCGCGGATGGAGCCGGTGCCGGGGAGGTCTCCGAACCTGGAGCAGGGGGTTATCGCCGCTCGGGAGCCTTCCCAGGAGGAGCAGAGCGAGCAGGACACTCCGCAGCCCCCAAGCATCTCCAGCACTCCTGCTGCTCCCCCGCCTCCCACTCCCCTCCCCGAGCCCCGAGTTTCTCGCTGGATTTGCAGCTGGAGATAAGTCTGTCCTGGCCTTCTGCCGTTTTGCACTGACCCGGAGCTCGGCAGGAGCAGTGCATCCTTCAGAAACATCCCCAGTGGGACCCGTCACAGCTTTCCTTCTCTCCCCACGCGGTGTGTCTGTGTCCCCAGAAGGGGCTGTGCCCCGTCTGCCTCTTCTCTTTCTCCACTGCACTTGCAACAAGTGAGGGAGCCCGAATGAAGGATGAATTCAACACTCCGTGAATTCCACGCTCCTCTCGGTGCCCCCCTCGGCCGGGCAGGGACCAGCACTTTGTGCTGAAAACAGCAGCTTTTGTTACCTGCTGCTGATGGAGCCACTTGCAGCCCTGTTCCCTTTCAGCCCACGTCCCTGCTGCTGCAGGGTGCTGGGACTCCTTCCCCATCCCTGAGCTGTATAAATGACTGTCAGACAAATTTGGGAGGCAAACTGATGAGGGTCACCGGTCACTTTGGGGCCTCCAGGGGTTCATCTCAGCTTGACTCTGCTCAGTAAGGTGAACTTAGGGCAGCAGAGCTGTATGTACAGGTATCACCCTCTTCCTGGTGCTTCAGAGCTGCAGAAATCGGAGCTCTTGGCTCTGTGACTGTCTCAAACCCCTCTGTGATGCCTTTGGTAGGAGAATTGATACCCAAAGCCCTATTTCTGCATCTGCCCTATTTCAAGGGAAAGGTAAATTCCCCGGCACATGCAGAGGAGGTGAACAGAACCTGTTCCTTCTGGTGGATTTGATTCCTTTCACACAGAGTGTGATCACACCACGCCAGCAGTAAACCAAACACAGCCACTTTGTTTACTGCTTAGCTACATAAAACCTTAAAAACGTGGTGCAGGGTTGGTCAGGCAGCACCTGCACCAGAAGCTTCTGCTGCTCTACAGGGACTTGTGAAACTGCAGGGAAAAGTCTTAATTTCCTTTTTTTTTCCTGTAAAATTAAAAAATCTCTCCAGCACAAAAGCACGTTTAGGATCTTTCTGAATAGAAGTGCTGTGAAACAGCCCGGCCAGGCTGAAATCAGGTGCACAGGCTGCCTTTCAGAGCTCTGGGCCCTGTGGCTCCCCCTCACCCCCTTCTGCACCACCTGAGCAGGAATCCACTGCCCTTCTGTTCCCTTTTAACTCCTGTTCCCACACCTGGCACCGCTCCCAGCCTGTTTCCTTTAGTGGTTGCACAACACCGGTGCAGCAGTGGCACAGGAAAGCAGCAGAGACATCTGACCTGTGGCAGATAGAGATCTCCCCGCGGAGCTGTTTGTTCTGAAGCTGCTTGAGCCGCTGCTGAGGGAGGTTCTTTCTCCTTTTCACCGGCTGGCCCTCGTGTTCAGCAGAGATTTCTCACTGTAATGGTCTCGGATCGATTACACGGAGAAGCGAAATGGTGCCTTCAATAGGAAGAGCTTCCTAGGAAACGTTACACGGATGTGTCTCAGCACAGCTCCTCGGGTTTCTTGCCTTGTCAGTACCTAAAACTGTGGAGCAAAAAGTCTGGTAAGGCTGCACAAGGAGATTAAACAGCCCTCAGACAGCGCAGGGTGTCTGGGAAGAGTCTGGGTCACTCCTTGCCTGCGGTGAAACCTGGAGAGTCTGCTGGCAGCGTGTCCTGTAGGCAGGAAGCTGGCCCAGAGCCACATTCCAGGAACCCCGGTGGGGATTCTGCAGGACACATGGGGTGCATCCTAAGCTTTTTGTTGTTTTAGGGGGGCAAGGTTTGTCCTTGGTGGAGCAGGGTGGGTTTTTGTTCTCTGCGAGGACCTCTAGGCCATGTGCTGTGCTTTGGCAGGACATCAATAGAAGCCTCTGCAGCCAGCTGAAAGCAGATTTCTAACAGATGGGTTTGGAAACCCCGCAAGGGAGAGAAATCTTTACCAAGGGTACTGTGGTGGTTTTCACCGGCGTTATCTGCCCCATCTGCAATGCACTGAGCTGGCACAAGACCTTGTGACCTCCTGAATGTTTGCACTTTGTGCTGCTGCTCCTCTGGGCTGGCACGAGGCGAGCAGGGACCTGCTGGAGCCTCCAGCACTGCGAGTCCTGCTCGTGGGAGCACAAATTCAACCGGCGATCTCCAAGCTTGGATCCAACCTGGCAGTGCTGCTGGAGTGTGGAGTGGTAGGAAAGGCAAAGGTTCAGTGATTTTCTCTTGGGGTTTGTTTGTTTTTATGGTTTTTTCCTTTCCCAGAAAGAAACTTTTGCCTTCATTGACTTTTCCATCAAATCTTGAACACCCCAGGTTCAGGTTCCTGCTCTCCAGAGACTGGCACTGCAGGCTTGGCTTAGGGCACATGAAATGGGCTTTGCCCAACTAAGACCTGCTTGTTGACCACTCAGAGTGGGCTGCAAAGTTGAGTGAGTTCCTTCTGTGCACGCTGAGTGTCAGTGCTTGCTTTTTCTCTTGACAGCAATCCAAGTCTCATTTTCCTCCCACTTTGCTTTGTGATAAGTGACCATATGAGAAATCTTTTTTGATATGAGTGCACTGTCCCCCCCTCCCTCTCTTGCTTTAGAGGATGAACCTGGAGAACAGCAACTTTGGACAGTTCCTTTAACTTCTGCTCTGCTCTGGTTTGGCTGAGCAGCATTTTCCCGTTGCAGAACACAGAGGGTAGGGAAAGGATGGGAAAAGCTTAAATGAAGAGGCTCTTAAAAAATCACCTTCCAGTTTTTGGAGGAAAAATGATTAAATATCCTTAGCTGCTGGTAAAGACAGTGTCCATCTTGGGTAGAGAATGTCTCAGCAGTGATGACTGAACACTTTGCAGTCCTCCAAACACCGGACACAGAGAAGAGCCCTTGAAGACCTGACTTGAGGAAGATGCTGGGGAAGGCTGACTTTGCTTTGCTTACCAGGGGAAGCAGCACATCTCCTGTAACTCCCTAACCTTGGGATAATGCTGAACAGCTGCAGGCTTTTGCATGTGAGTCTGTGCTGGCAGAAGTTGTAAAAACCCGAGCTCTTGTGCTGAGTAGCTCCTAGGTGGCCTCCCCAGAACATTTGCCTAACAAATGGGCTGCAGATCACACGATAACATGCAGCAGGCCCGCAGGCACATCCAGATAACCGCTGCCCCTCCTGGAAAAGTACCATCGGGAGACTCCTCCAGCCACACTTGGATTCCAATCTGCCTTTCCTTGGGCTGCTCCAGCCCTGCGAGTGGAAGCAGCTACAAATCTCCTGCAAAATAACCCTGACGTCCTGTCTTTGCTCTCCAGATGGACCAAACCCCAGTGCAGCCTGCAGGGGCTCATGGACACAGCTGTGATTATCCCCACACTCCTGCTTTTCTTCTGTACTCTTTCCTCCCCCATCCTGCTTTCCCATAAAAGGGAAAAAAATACTCTGACCCAAAGTCTAGAACCGCACTTAAAAATGGTGTAGCCCCTTTAGTCCCTGCTCTGAGGGGGGAAAAGGAGGAGGTGGATGTGGGACCTCAGCACAGGAGCATCCCCTGTTCCTCCTGTTCCCAGGTGAACAAGGAATCGCTGCTCAAGAGTCCCCTCCAGAGCTCTGCCAGGGCTTAATGTGCTGGTTCCCTTCCCATGAAGAAGGAGACAGTGTTACCACCAGGGCTGCCCCCATCAGACCCAGAGCTCTCCTGCCCCTCAGGGGCTCTGTCAGCCTGGGGGGCCTTTTCTTCCCTTTGCCCACCTTTCAGCCATGGGGTTTGCAACTGGGAAGAGCAGCTGAGCAGTGATGGATGTGTTCTATCAGGCAAAGGGGGCATTCTTGAAGTCTTTCCAGTTTGGGGTTATTGCAGTATTGTTGTTTTGGTTTGGTTGGTTGGTTTTTTGTTTTTTTTTTTTTTTTTTCTTTTCCTGGAAGTGTTTTACACTTCCTACAGCATTAAGGTCTGGCTTTTCTTGAGTCAGAGGGGACTGTGGGGCTGGGCAGTGCTGGTGGAAGCTGTCCCACACTGAACACTGAGCTGGCTGTACATTGGGATAGGACATAACCTGTCTCAGAGGGACACAGAGGATACACCTCTGGCTTTGTGCTGAGTGCAGGCAGGATGATGTGAAGGATACCCAGAAATGCTCATCCTGACAAAGCTGCCCACAGTCTGTGTTTGTTTGCCTTGATTGCTTCCAACTGGCCTAGCAGAGCCAAATCCTTTCCAAGGGCTGTAACTGGAGTGGATAATGCTTTTGTAAAGAAGGCAAAGTAAATCTTGCTAAATGACAAAGGCAGCAAAACATTCCTGGTTGAAATCTAGCAATAAATACCCTGTGTGCTGAGGAATCTGTATCTGGAGCCTCGAGTGCCAGAGGATCTTGTTTAAATCAGAGAAGGCTGACTCTTTGTTAACAGTAATTAAAAATCAGGCAAGCAGGAAACAACAGATGCTAATCAGAGTTTAATTTTCTTCTTGGACTCCCTCAGAGTGGATTCTCAGGGGTGACTATTCGGGTGCAGAGCAGTTCTAGAGCTACCATGCTAAACACAGAATTAGGGCCTTGTGTTGTGGCTTTTTTGTTGGGTTTTGTTTGTCTTGTTTGTTTGTAAATTGGCTGTCACAGCACAGTAACTAAAAATGCCTTAGCTGGAATATGTTGGCTGGACCTGCTTGTCTCTGTCCTCCTCTCCTCATGTTCCTTCAGGTCACAATAGGGGAAAAAATAGGCTTTCCTGCACTTTTTAGGTTTTCTAAGTGGATTTTTCAGCTTTTATCAGGTGTAACATTCTTGAGGACCAAAGCTGTCTAGGTTACCTTTATGCCTGGAAGCTGCTTCTGAGAAACTTAAACCACTGCAGTGGGAGTCACTTGTTAACTAAGTCATTAACTAACTGGAAAAACCATTGAATTTTAAACCTGATTTGCATGCAGTGATTGTAATTTCATGCTGTTTATGTTCTGGAGAATGTTTAATGCTACAGTGTTTGGAGTTTTTTAATTGGAAATGTTGCTTACTCACTTCAGAAGCCTCTCAGTTGCTGTTGCTACACAAAACAACCCTGGCCTTTTAGCAGGAGTTAGTAGCTTGTTTCTGTCAGAGAATAAAGCATATAAATAAATGAACTATAAACAAATGAACAAACCCCAAGAAGCCACAGCGCTTGTGGAGTTTATTATCAATTAAGTGATACTGTCAAACTGAAATCCAGTGACAGTGCAAAGCCATGTAATTATTGCAGGCCTTGACACTGCAGAACTATTTCATCCTGGACTATCAATGAGCAAGACAGCGTGTTCTGGGCCTTTAATTTATTGAAAACTGCCCCAACTAAGCCCTGTCCAGGGGAAGGAATGTCTTCTGGTTTTGTGCTTCTGACTCGTTCTCCTTCCCCCTCCCCTTAATATCCTGAACTGCAGTTGTAGATTGGCCTCAGTGGGAGAACAAATTTCCCAAACAAGCCTGGAGAGGATCCTGAGGGGTTTGAACCGAGATAAAAGTTGTAATGCATTCGAGTTTGTCAGAGGACACCGAGTCCCTACGTGTCTCCAAGTGGCAGAGAAGTATTCCTTCAAACCCAGCCCTCCTGACCCCCATTCCCAAAGGGCTGCAAAAGAAAGGGATTTGCTCGAGCTGGAATGTTTGGCCAGGTTGCTCTGTCTCCTGAACATGGCTGGGAGTATGCAATCCATCTGTTGTGTTTGGCCACGCTTCCCACTTGGCTGCATGGCACAGAAACCTAAGTATTCCAGCTGGGCCTATAAATCCAACTTGGACACACTTTGTCCAAGCCATAACACCACAAAGGCCTGATTTTCTCCAGGAACATCAGTCTCTGCTGAGAGGCACTCGACAGATGACTGAATTATAGCAGGGGATATTGTTGTTGCATGGAACTGGTTTCATGTGTGCTCCACCTTCGGCTCCAAGCTTATGAGGCTGCCGGGGAAGCGGAATTTCCATGGGAAAACTGCCTTTCCTGCAAACAGTAATTCCAGTCTACGTGTTCCTGTTGCCCTGAAGTGATCTAGAGCACTAGCTGAGCTTCAGGGGAATGATGCTTTTCTTACAGAATTGGGGAATTACTGGCTTTTTACTGGAAAGCTGCCTGAGCCCCGAGGCTGCTGTGGAACTGCTGTTTGGTGCTTACACTGCAAACACACCCTGGAGCTGAGCACACTGAGAACTATCCCACTAAAAATCCAGCATGCTGGGATCTGACTAAGCAGGGAAAGAGTCCAGTTTCTTGGAGCTGTTGATCTGGCTCTCAGGAAAGCTGCTCAGCAGGCTGGAAAACAAAGTAGCATCGATGCCTTCGGTCCAGTCATGGCAATATTTCAGTTACAGTCCTGGAGGTGCAGATCTCAAACTGTTTTATGTAATAGCCATGGAGATCTCTCTCTCTCTATTATATTTATGTATGTGGAAGATAACCAAAAAAAATGTCTTTTTCCTAGGAACTCCAGCAGCTTAGCAAGCAGTACAGCAATATCAAGCTCCTCCAACTGGGTGAGTAAAGGGCTTTATTTCTGTCCATAGAAATATCTTCAGCTTCCTCAGGTGAGTACACCTTAAGAACCCACTCTCCTGGGTGATCAGCAGCTGGACATGATCTCCAGCAGCTGAAAACCACCTTAAGATAACACTGGGGAAACAAAAATCCATCTAAAATCATCTGTGCGTTGTCATCCATGCGCTGCCTAAATGTCCCCACTCTGCTTTAGCTTTGGTTTGGGCACGTGTTGTGTCATGCCAGACAGACTGATCCACACTGTTCACTGTGCCTCCTCCGTGCAGATGTGGTCTGTGAAAACAGCATCAAGAAAGTAGTCAAGGAAGTGGAAGAAATCGTGGGGGACAAGGGGCTGAACTGCCTCATCAACAACGCCGGCATCAACGTGCTGGCCTCCTTGGAAGAGGTGACGGCAGAGACAATGCTCACCATCTATGAAACCAACACCGTGGCCCAGCTGATGGTCACCAAGGTAAGAACTGGGAGGAATGTGCTTCATCTGGGGTACCACAGAGGGTTTTTTCTTATAACCAAGGTGTTTTTCCCCTGGAACTGCACGGATACAGTTCTGATGTTGAACTGCGTGTCTAGAGAGCAGCAGTTTGTCATGGATGTTTCTCTGCATTTAGATCTGCCTGATGTGAGGCCACTTCAGTGGGCAGGTGGGGTTAGGACGTGGGTAGAAGAGTCTGAAGGTCCTTGCTACTTCCAGCTGGCTGCTTTAGAAAGGTTTCCTATGGCCACCAAGTCTGAGGAACCATCACCATTTTGTGCTGGTGGTACTGGAATTCTTCAGGAGTCTGGCTCGCCTCGAATGGGGAAATTATGCAGACTAAATCAAACCAAAATCATGAAATTAAACCAAACTCTTGTTTCCCCAGGCGTTCCTACCCCTCCTGAGGAAGGCAGCCCAGCTGAGCACAGGAATGGGCTGCCACAGAGCTGCTATTATCAACATGTCCTCTCTCGCTGCCTCCATGCAGCTCGTCCAGGCCAATGAGATGTTCCTCAAGGTCTATCCCTACAGGATAGCCAAGGTTTGTGGGCTCCCCTGGGCTGGGAGTTAGAGACCAGCTGAGCTTAGGATGGTGATGGGAGGTGGGCAGCACCTCCACGGACACAGAAACTGTGCTTGCTCTCCCCGTGGGTGGAAGTGGGACCTGTGCAACACCTGCAGGTGAACTTCTGAAGAACAGGCTCCCCCAAATTACTGCTGTGATTCAGAGGGATTTGGCACTCGGGGAAGAACTGATGCCATGAAATGTGTGTGCTGTCAGCTGTGCTCCCCTCCCGTTGAGGCGAGACAGCAAGGAACTCAGCAAAAGGTGTGCTGACCTGTACGTGGTGATGCTGCTTAGTGAGAGGTGGGATTTTTAGTTTTCTCACCTCCAGAGACTGAGTTTGCACAGAGAGTCAAGATCAGACACGGAGTTTCTCCTACACCACCTACTCATAAGCTGTTAAACACTTGTTTACCCTGTTCAGAAGTAAATGAAGGTTTGTGTAGTGGTTATTGCAGAAAAACACAGTCCTTATGTCAACATTATTTTCCTCATGGCTCCTTAGGAGTTTCAAATGCTAGTGTATCTTCCATCAAAACTTAGTTTCATCTTTGGGCAGTCAACCTGTGGTTATAGAGCTTCCACAATGCTCCTACTAACAGGTATTTCTGAGAATGCAGGGCCAGTAAGTCTGGATAAGTTACTGTGATGCTGTTACTGCCAGAATGGTGGAAGGGAGGTGCCAATTAGCTTGGTTTGAGGTCTTGCTCGAGGTTTATAAACCAGCACCCTAATAGATGGTTTCCACCCTCACAGACTGCACTGAACATGATCACCAGGTGTCTTGCTGCAGACCTGAAATCGGATGGAATTCTCTGTATTTCTTTGCATCCAGGCTGGCTCCAGACAGACATGGGTGGCAACATGGTAAGTGACACCTCTGAAAAAGTGAAAATAGAGCTCCCTTTTTATCCCAACCCCTGATCAAGAACTCCTGGCACAGTGTTTGCCTCCTTGTGCCGCAGAGGCACGCTGAGAAGCAGGAAAATGCATCCCTCTTGATATCAGTAACTCCTTAAATGCATTTGATTCCCTTCCATAGGAAATTCCCAGTAATGACCTAAGCTTGATCCTTTCCAGGCTCCCATGCAGGTGCAAGAGGCTATCCCTGGTATTCTCTCTGTTCTGGAGCGTCTTGGTGAAAAAGAGAATGGTTCCTTCCTGGACTGGCAAGGGGAAACTCTGCCATGGTAGAAGTGCACAGGTTACTACAGAAACAGCACGTCAGTCACGATCTAACCTCTCGTGTCCGTGTCTCTGGGGTTTCCTCACACACTAGTTGAAGTAGCCAGTCTGATATCCAGCCTCTCTAGGTGTCTTTGAAAAATAAAGTGGCTGACTCTTTTCACTTGGTATTGCTACTGCTCTGTTCTAATGCTTCCTGCAAACACTGCTGTGCTCTTGGTGGTGGGTATCTCCTGGAACCCTCTGAAATGGATTAACACCTGCAAGTTAAATCTGGGGGCTGGTTCCTCTTCACTTCCCAAACCAAAGTGGGCCTCTTGCTCTCTGCAGGGTTAAATGACCTGAGCTCAGAGCAAGGCCAGTGTAGGCTGTCAGATCCCAGCACGCTCAGTCTGCTGGAGAAAGTCTGCTGTCTCCAGAAAAAAAGGTCCTGTGGTCTCCTTCGGTCCTAACTGAGCCAAGGCTGAAATTGCCCAGCTCCAAACCACGTGAATTTGGTACTTCTGTGAATTCCTTGGCAAACTGTCCCCAGGTTGACAGCGTACACCAGGCGTTGCTTTGTTCCCAGCGGGTGACTAACATCCTGATATGGGGGTGGGAATGTTGTTTTGTACATAAACTTCTGAAGTGTCTCCAATAAAGTCTTGTTTAAAAAACCAGTCTGTTTACTGAACCGCTTCAGTTAATTTCTCTTCATTGGTTTCTCTTCCCTGATCAGAGAACTGCACTTCTACCTTGCAGTAGGAACTCCAGCCACTGCTGTTCCCTTTCAGGCCAGATGAGTTTGACATGGTGGGGTGTAAAAACTGAGACAGACCCTTGTTCTGGTCTGAAACACTACAAGCAGCTGGTGAATAAATCCCTTGTGTGCTGCTGAGGGAGGTATAAAAGCAAAAAGTTCTTTGAAGTCTGGGATTGGCTTCACCATCCCTCCCTCGTGCCAGCTGATTAGGCACTTTCATGCTGTGCCAACGTGGTGGGTTCCTGCACCAAAAGCAAGAAAGACAAACAACAGCCAGGTAAGAGGGAGAGACAGGTGTGGCTGTGCCTGGACAGCAGCCACCGAGACCTGCCCACAGATGCAGACGAGGGTGTGTAAGGGAGAGGTGTCTGCCCGCCTCCCATGATCCCCATGTCAGCAGGGATAGACAGTCTCACTGGAACAGAATCACAGGATCACTGAGGTTGGAAAAGACCTCCAAGAACGCCAAGTCCAACCTTTGGCTGATCTGCACCTCGTCAACTAAACTGGAGCGTTGAGTGCCATGTCCAGTCGTTCCTAGAACACCTCCAGGGATGATGACTCCACCACCTCCCTGGGCAGCCCCTTCCCATCTTTAACAGCCCTTTCTGTGAGGAAACTTCTCCTGATGTCCAAAATTCCTCCTGATGTGTGCTTGTTGTGCCACAGTTCCATGCTCAGACCTGTTTCAGTGTGGTGAGCACAACGCAGACATCGACTTTCCAGGTGCAACTGAGGTGCCTGTGCAAACCTGGCGGGTGAGGGGCACGCCGGGTTTGAACTGCTCGAATGATTTATTTTGGATCGCAGCCGGGGAAGGGTCTGGAGCACCAGGAGAAGCTGAGGGAGCTGGGGGTGGCTCAGCCTGGGATGGTTCCACAAGGTCATTGAGACCAGGACTGAGACTGCAAGGGGTCGTGAGGGACCACAAGGACTGTGAGGAACCATAAGGTCCATGAGGGACCATGAAGGGCCAAGACCATAAAGGACTGTGAGGGACCATGAGGGACTGTGAAGGACCATGAGAGACTATGAAGGACCAAGACCATGAAAGACTATGAGGGACCACGAGGGACCATGAAGGGCCAAGACCAGGACCATGAGGGGCCGTGAAGGACCATGATGGACTGTGAGAGACCATGAAGGGCCGAGACGGGGACCATGAGGGCTATGAAGGACTCGTGAGGGGCCATGAGGAGCCGTGAAGGATTGTGAAGGACTGTGAGGGTTAGCGAAGGACCATGAGGGACCATGAAGGGCCATGAGGAACCATGAAGGACCATGAGGGGCCGTGAAGGATTGTGAAGGACTGTGAGGGTTAGCGAAGGACCATGAGGGACCATGAAGGGCCAAGACTGTGATGGGTCATGAGGGACCATGAGGGACCATGAAGGGCCATGAGGAACCATGAAGGACCATGAGGGGCCATGAAGGATTGTGAAGGACCGCAAGGGTTAGCGAAGGACCATGAGAGACCATGAAGGGCCAAGGCTGTGATGGGTCATGAGGGACCATGAAGGGCCATGAGGAACCATGAAGGACCATGAGGGGCCGTGAAGGATTGTGAAGGACCGCAAGGGTTAGCGAAGGACCATGAGAGACCATGAAGGGCCAAGACTGTGATGGGTCATGAGGGACCATGAAGGGCCATGAGGGACCATGAAGGACCATGAGAGGCCGTGAAGGGCCATGAGGAACCATTAAGGACCATGAGGGGCCGTGAAGGATTGTGAAGGACTGCGAGGGTTAGTGAAGGACCGTGAAGGTCCATGAGGGACCGTGACCACGAAGGACCGTGAGGGACTACGAAGGGCCGAGACCGGCACCGTGAGGGACTGTGTGGGGAACCACGAAGAACCACGAGGTACCGAGCACGAAGGACCGTGACGCTCGGTATAAACCTCATCCCCCCGCGGCCCGCAGAGGGCGCCGGCGGAGCCTGCGGAAGTTCCGGCGGCGGGGCCGGTGTGTGATGGCGGTGATGCCGGGGATGGCGGCGGGGATGGCGGCGGGGAGGGCCGGGCGGGCTCCGTGCGGGCCGTGCCGGGGCTCGGGGGGGAAGAGCGGCGGGAGCGCCGGGAGGGCTGCGGGGAGCGGGGGCTGCCCGTCGGTTGCGGCCCCATCGTTGGGCCGAGCGGCCGCTCCTGCCGGCCTGAGGGGGGAACAGCGCTGGGCCGGGGGGACTCGGCTGCGGTGGCCGTGTTTTTAAAGCTAAAACAACCCGAGATTTGTTAATTGATCACCTCCGCGGCTCAGCTACGCCCTCCCCACAGCACAGCCCGGCAGAGTGATACAGTAAAACGAGGAGGGTGCTTAGGGTGTCTCAGCCCGTCTTTTGGGGGTTTGGGGTTAAATAGAGAATGTTTGGTTTTTGTTTGTTTGTTTTGTTTTGTTTGTTTGTTTGTGAAATGCATGTTTGCCTCCTGGAATAAACGTTCTTATTTTAACAGTCACTGCTGGCTCTGCCAGTCAACAAAGTGAAACAAAATGTTGATAGCACAGCTGAGTTCCCAGTTGCTGAAGGCTTCGAGAATTGCAGGTAAACTGGTGTTGTGCGACCTTATTTGTTTATTTGTTTTTTTGTTGTGTTGTGTTGTGTTTTGTTTTTTTCTGGGGTAATCTGTTTCTCAGAAATTTCTTTTTGGGGAAGCAATGGCAGGAGTGAGGAGGCTGTTGTTGAGTCAGTGCTTGCTGAGTGCTGTTAACATCTCTGATCCATTATGTCAGGATTGAGTAGCTCTGATTTAACCTTTTCTAAGCCAAAGAGGAGATTCCTCAGCAGCAGGAAGGTTTGATACAGCAAGCAGTTCCTCACCGTTCCAAATTGCACTTCGTGGAATCTCGGAATGGTTTGGGTTGGAAGGGACCTTAAAGATCATCTAATTCCAATCCCTTCTGTAGGCAGGGACACCTTCCACTAGACCAGGTCTGCTCAGTGAAGGAGAACCTCCACCCTGCTCTGCCTGGGTGACTTGGGCAGTTCACACAGTAAAGCACGATGTATTTTTAGCGGGTGGCGTTATAGCAGTGTAATTAAAATTTAGAAAGGCTTTTTTGTGACGACAGTACAAAAATTCTGCCTCCTCAATGAAATTCTTTTCTCCTGAAGGCCACCTTTTGCCCAGGTCGGTGTCTTCCTTCCTTTGCTGCCGCGCCACGTCCGCCCACTACAGCACCCAGCCCCCCAACACGAGCGGGGCCCAGCCCCAGCACTGGCACAGCCTGGACCCTGAGCTGGAGGAGATCCTGGTTCCCAGGAAACTCTCCATCAGCCCCTTGGAGAGCTGGCTGTCGGTGAGATACTCCCTCCCCGAGGCAGAGGGAGCTCAGGGGGAGGTGGGCCATGAGCCCGCAGAGGGGTCCGAGTGCCCCCCGCCCGCCGGGGGAGCGGCCGTGGGGGAAGGAGGGGCGGCCCCCGGGGACGCCGTGCAGTGCAAGAACGTCCTGAAGATCCGCAGGAGGAAAATGAACCGCCACAAGTACAAGAAGCTGCTCAAGAGGAGGAAGTTCATCCGCAGGAGGATAAAGGAGGGGCGCAAGAAGAAGCGCCAGGTGAGCTCGGGGAAGGGGGGGGATTCTCCCGGTGTAAACGTGTTTTTAAGTGGAATTGATTTCATGTTGGACATCAGGAGGAATTTCCTCATGGAAAGGGTGGTCAGGCACTGGAAGGGACTGCCCAGGGAGGGTGGAGCCCCACCCCTGGAAGTGTCCAAGGAACAACTGGACATGGCACTCAGTGCCCCGGGCTGGGGGACAAGGTGGGGATGGGGCACAGGGTGGACTCAACAGTCCTGAAGACCTTTCCTAACCTTAATGATTCTGGGATGGTGAGATAGTTAATAAGTGAAATTTTTCTTCCCTGATAGTAAATTGCAAAAAGATGGGGCTGATGGAGAAGAATTTTAGTGTTTGTGTGAAAGATGTGTCTGTGTTATATCACGGAGATTGGTTTAATCCTAATTTCTCTCCTGTCTTGCCAAGATCCTCAAATGCTTCCTGTTGTTTTATCCTTTAGAGAGGCCTTTTTCTTCCCTTAGTAGAAGGGCTGGGGGAAGACACAGCCCTCTCTTCAGGCTGTGGATGTTCTCATCAGTGCTGCCTTTCAGTAGGGTTTGCTGTGATACAGTTTAGTTCATTCTCTGCTAATTCTCACCTTGCCCGGATGCAAATTGGGGTTAATTGTAATTCCATGCCTTCAGATTTGTAGGAGGCAGTGTTGAACACTTAAATGATGAGAAAATCCTCCTAATTTTCTTGTCCATTTCATTGTCCATTTTCTCACTTTTTCTTGCACAAGGCTTTTAAAATAAAGCTACCAAGATCCTTGTGCATTTTAACATCTTCTAATGTTTTGTCTGCAGCAAGGTTAAATATTTTGTCACTCAAAACAAGCTGCCTTTGTTTCCTTTGTGTGTGTTAGACTGTCCTTGGGACATGTGGGCAGTGGCTGTGAATGAATATTCAGGTGTTGCTTCTGGGCTGTGTTACCTTTTTTTTTTTGTCCTTCTCTTTTTTTCTGTTTTAGATCAAGTTCGAGAAAGATTTGGAGCGCATCTGGAAAAGGGCGGGTTTGAAAGGCCCTCCTGCAGGATGGCAAACACCCAAGATATTCCTGAGGAGCTCAAAGCGATAAAACCCACCTGTCACGAGTTTTGACCTGTAATTGTAATTAAAAAAAAAAATAATAATTTCAGTACGTGGATGACATTTAACCTCTCTCTGAATGTGATGAAATAAGCAGTCCCAGAGGAGTGGTGTGAGCTCTTGGGTGCGGGTTTGGCACTGCTCTTTTGTCTCAGCAGAGGTGTCCTGGGCTGCAGCTGAATTTCTGGAATTCCTGTCTGATTCATTAGAACATAAGAGTGGAAGAATTCCTCTTGATTGTATATATGGCACAAGCATTTGGAAAAGTTCAGACCTGCGTTCTTCAGTAGCCTTATTTCAGAAAGGCTGGTGTTTTCTAAGAATTCTGGGGAGATGGGAGTTGGATCAGAATCCCATAGAATGTGTTCTGTATCTGCAAAAGCTTTACCTGGAGCCTTGGTGTGCACGTGCCTTGGGCATTGCATGGACAACCTTAAAGGCACGTTTGTGCTCTTATTTTGTGCTAATAAAAGACTGGTTTGGTTTTGGTTTTTCCCCTTTGATTGATCCCTGTCATACAGAACATCTGGATCTTGGTATCAATAAAAGCTCAGAGCTAATTATTCATGAACTACGAAAACTTTTGTGCCTGAGGCAACCCTGGTGATAATCACCTGGTTTTGTGTGGTTGAAGAGGGTCGTGAAAGCTGTGAAAAAATACAGTTGTCTGAAAAATAAACCCTGACAGAGGGCTTTATATCTGGGCTCTGGTTTGGGTTCTGCTTTGAGGCTCTGTGTTTGAGGCAGTTTTGGGTGGTTCAGTGTGATTTAAGTGTCTGCATCCATGGGGTGAACTGAGCTCTGAGAGAGGAGGGAATAAGAATCAGACTCCTTCGGGCTGGTCATTGTGCAGTGCCCAGGGAAGCTGCCCTGCAATTGCCTTCCCTTTGTCCTGCTTTAATGTTCCTGAGCGATTTGAAACTCCCTCCCTTTGCTAAAACAGAATCAGACAAGATGAAAGAAGCTGCCCTTAAATCTTTCTGTAGAGGGAGCACGAGTCCAGGAGATCCTGTTCACAAAGCCTCACTCTCCAAGACATCTGCACACCAGTGCATCTGCACACTTGGTGAAATGTGCCTGTGCATGTGTAGCTGTGGTAACAAAAAAAAAGAACAAAACAGGAAAGGTTTGAGTGTTACAATTCCCAAAATATTTAAGACTTGGAAGATTTCTCCTTCGTCTCGTCGTTCTGCTGTGCTGAGAGGAAATGGTTGGGAGCAGGAGGTTGCTGAGGCAAATTTGTGCTCTTGATTCCAGAGGTTGGAGATAGCCAGGGGGATGGTGATTTTGTGTCAGTCATTGGTCTGGAAAGGTCCCTCAAAATGGGTCTATTAAAACCTGGGTTCTCTCTTGCTTTATCCCCTTAATTCTTGGATTGCATGCACCTCAAATCAGCCAGTGAGCTCAGCTGAGAACACTGACTGTAATGGTTTTTCTCACAGTGATCAGGTTTGTGCTGAAGTGATTTGGCTCTAGAATAGGAAGTCAGCTGACTTGGAAGGGCTGAAAGTCCTGAATTTTGTTTCTTTTAGCCAAAACATCCCACTGCAGGCTCAGAGAGCATTCTCCCTCTTGGAAAAGTGGGAGCCCAGCACCGTGTGGTGGCAGTGGCTGCTGGCTGGATGTGGCAGAAACACCATTTCTTTTCAGTGCTGGCAAATAATGCTTCCTGGCAGATGAAATTTTGGTGGTCTCCTTGGCCTGGATAGCAGTGTTTCCTAGCAGGGTAAGAATTAAGTGCATTTTTAGGAGTCTTCTCTAGAAAATGTGGTGTTCAGTTCCATCAGCCTGGTTCTTGAAGTGTTTTGGAGGCTTCTGGACATAAAAAAAAAGAGTTCTTTCAGCCACACAAATGAATCCAGAAGAACTTGCAGCTGAGGATCAGGCCTGGCTGTATATGGGAAAGGAAGCAATGCAAAGGAACTGCTTCCTGCAGCTTTTTCCTCAACTATTGTGTTAACACAGTCCCAGATAGGCTTGCTTGGCACAGGGGTGGAAAAGCCTGGATCAGCTGCCAGTGCTTTGCATAGTTTAGTGCTCACAGCCATGAGGTGTTTGCAGTGACAGGGCATTTTCAGGAATGGTGCAGAAGAAGGAGATTTATGATACTGATGGGGAAGCAGAAAATTATTTTCAATGAACTTTTTATAAAGGGAGCACCCCTTTCATTGCAGGGCAGATCAAGAAGCCAGGAGAGTTGGTCCCTTGGCAGCAAGGATTGAAGCCCAAATGGGTGGAAAGTAGAAACATTTAAAGTGTGTAAAAATTAATTTACCTCTCTGTGCCCAAGTTAACCATAACCCCTCGTGGTCTGGGGTCTGTGGAAAAGATTTCATGGGAACAGGCCTGGATATTTGGACTCCCAGCAGTGTGTTGGGAGTGCTGAGGGCAGGCTGTGGGATGCTCAGGGAAGCACACATGGAGCAGCAAAGGGCAAGGGAAATCCTCTTTGTGTTCCTGTTGTGTTGGCTTCTGTGCTGTGCCTGTGAATCTGTTTTTGGGGTTTTTTTGGAGTCTGGGGTTTTTTGGGGGGAAATGTGTGTTTGGTTTATTTCTCTTTGGGTTTGTTGTTTGTTGGGGGCCGTGGGGTTTTTTTATTTGTTTGTTTTTCTGTTGTGGGGAGTTTTGTTTGATGGATTTTTTTTTGTGGGGTTTTTCTGTTTGATTGTTTGGTTTTGGTTTTTTTTAATATCAGAGGGAGAGGAGCATTTCTGTGGGACTGGAAGCCCAAGTTCTTTCCATGTCTATATTGTGGGAACTGTTCTTTCTTCCATTAGTAAACTCAAGACCAGTATTAGAAAGGAGTTATCAGCCCATGTCAGGGAAAGCTCATGAGCACCTGGTGTACAAAACACCTTTCAGGGGATTAATAGGACCTGACCTTGCCTAATAATTCCTGAGCAGAAACAGTGGCCACCTTTACCCTGGTGAGCTCATGCCCGTGTTAAATGGGACACTTTCATATGAAAAACTGTCAAAATATTGGTGTGTGTTTGTTGGCTTTGACAGCTCTGGGGCCTTCTGAGATTCTGAAGGCAGCTCTGCTCCAGTGGGTCTGATCCCTGCTCCAGGGGTTCCAAATTTAACAAACCAGGCTTGTTCCCACTGGCTGGTCTCACAGACAGCACCTGTGGACAGCTAAAATGACATCTTTTCTTTTCACCAGCCGTGCTCTGCTGTTGGCATTTCTCTTCTGACTGGGAAAACATCCTGGGTTGGGTTCATTTGAGCCTGGCGAGCTCCTCTTCCAAAAATAACAGCACTCAGTCCCTCACCTGGAGCGTTTGCGGGTTTGAAAAGTGGGGTCTGTTTTTCCTGCTGATTTCCAAATAAATAAATAAAATATCGATAACTGTAGCTCCTGCAGACATCTGAGCTGGCTTTGAGCAAACTCAGTGGGCTGGCTTTCCCGTGGAAGGATCCATTCTTGCTTGGCTTTCCCTGTAAAGCACAGGGACAAAACTGCAGCAGGGAGTTCTGTGAGCCAGGGAATTCAGGAAAACCATCTGATACGTCACTTTTGCGTCAGCTCCCTGATTTAGGGGAATTTTTCAGTCTTGCTCCCAGCCTGGGCACTAAGAGCTATAAAACTGAGGCTTGTCCCTTTGAATGCAGCTGAAATTTTCTGTTGTGTTTCAAAATAAAGGGAAGGAGGAGGAGGAGGAGGAGGTTGGATGGACTGTGGGGCCACGTAACTGCAGGTGCCTTGTTCCCTTGGGAAATGGAAACAGGGCTAAATGGGAGTGGCTAAAGATTAGTTGGAAGTAGAAGAATAATGTGAACTATTGGTTGTAAAATGAGGTTTTTCACTTTTTCAGTATCCAAGGCTTGGTGCAGCTCAGGCAGGTGTTGTGCTGAGGGACTGTCATTGCCTTTGGTGTGGCCAGGTCTGGAAAAAACCACTCCTGGAGCCTGTCAGCAGCTGGAGCACCTCAGAGTCCCTCTCCCACTTGCAGAGTGACTGGTGTCAAGGCAAAGATGTGGAGTCCTGAGCACAGAAATGACACAGCAGGTAAAAAACTAATAGCTTGGGATGTGAGAGGTTTGTTTTAAGGGAATTAGCAGCTCATGGTAAGGAGGTTCTGGCTGAGCTTCATCACGAGCCAGTGAGGAACTGGTTAAAGCTGAAGGATAAGCAGAGCCTTAGAAGAAAAAGGTAGAAGAGGCTGTAACAGAGTTTTTAGTCAGCAAAGGGAGGTGTGTGAGCAGCAGCAGTTACTCACCAGCCCCCCTGGCCGGGTGCTCCTGAGTCAGAGCCCTTCCCTGCCTGGCCAGGGGTTTTCCCTGCTGTCAGCACGGAGGGAGCCAGTCCCTGGAGGGGCAGCCAGCTGGACCCTGCCCAGCAGCAGCATCAGCAGGTCCATCCCGAGGGCAAAACGTGTGCCTGCTCCCCCAGGCTGTGCCTGATAACATCACCCCTCGGGGAAGCCAAGGTGGGGGTGAAAGGCTTTCCTCTCAGGAGTAATTCATGCAAAAAACTGCTGCTGTGGGAAAAAAAAAACTGAGAGGAAAATAACGATATCTGGGTGCAACACCTTCTCCTGGAGTGTTTAATTACGGAGCTGGGGAGGAGAAACAAAAATAAAAATAACACACAGGTGGTTTTCGGTGCAGGAGCAGCTCCTCCTGGAGTGGGGCTGCCAGGATAGAGTCACCTGAACCTTTCCACTTGGTCCTGATGGAGGAATGTGCACTTCTAAATGTGGTGTCATCAGGCTGCTCTCCTGTGGAGTGGGGATTTCATTTCTAAGGGAGGCAAAGCCAGCAGCACCCTGGGGTTTTTTTTAGCTAAAATGATGGTTGCCAGAGTTCTCCTGAACTGATCCTGAGCAAATACACTGTTCCCACAGGCTGCCCTCAGAAGCTGGCCAGGCTCCATATATGTGTGTCTAAATTAGGATTATATTGCATTATGGAGAGCACCAGAAGTATTTTTATTTTAGATGAAACGGCCTGCAAACCTGAGGTAAGTCACAGAACTCAGGGAGGCCCCTTTGAGCACCCTCCTCAGAGCCAACCTATTCATTTTTCCACCCTTTCCCCGTCATTTCTGATCTCAGAATAAGCTGGTGAGCCTGGAATGCCGCTGCTTAATTACTCTGGGCGGGGGCAACGGATGGGCTGCAATTTGTGTGAGGGTTGGAGGTTCCCCTGCAAAAGCTCCTGGTGCCAAGAGCGCTGTTCCCACGTGCAGAGGAGAGACCAAAAGGTGTTGTGGTTTGGTGCTGGTGGTCAGGAAGGGGACACAAAACGCGTGTCCACTCCCCTGAGCACTCCCAGAGCTTTGTTGTTGCTCACAGAAATAAGCAGTGCTGGCTGCCTGTGGTTAGACAGACCAGCAGGGAGATGCTGCACTGTGCCCCATGCCAGCCTGCTCCAGGGGCATGGATTTGGGATGCTGGTGGGTGATGCAGGAGTTCTGGGCGCTGGTTTTTGTGTCAGCCCTCGGTCCAGTTGCTTCTCCCTTCTCTTCCTCAGAGCCCGCCTGCCTTCTGCAGGATTATCAACTTCCACTCCTGGAGATCTGGAAGGAAAGAGCGGGCAAAATGCTCGCTCTGCCCTT